TAATGGGTAATTTTCTTTATTGTATTTGTTTCAATGCGAACTTTGCTGCCGAAGCAAATAAAAAGTTTTGGATTTAAGAAGATGTGGGTGGGGAACATGGCGAATAGCTGCGTTCGCCCAATTTCTTTTTTTTTAACTGACCAATATCATGGGCATTTTGAAGCCATGTGCACTTGATATTAAGAGATATTCTGAAGTTACTGGTAAACACTTTTTACTTAACAAAAATGCCGTAGTACAATTCTAAATTAAAGAAATAGTTATTGGAGTTTTCTGGTGGAAAGGGGGGGGGGGATCTGGACCCCCTTGGATCCGCCTTTGCCCAATTGGTACGAGATATTATTTTTCTAGTGTATTTTGGTGTTTTTTTTAATGTATCTAACCTAATCTTAAAAGATAGGGAATGGGAATACTTACAGTTTCAACCAATATGGCTCTTGAGTTGAGTAGTGTGTTTTTCTGATGGTTTAGACCAGGGGTTCTCAACCAGGGGAGAATTCCCCCCAGAGGGGGAATTCAGGTTTTCAGGGGGGGGGGGGAAACTGATTCGGGAGCAAGAGATATGTTCGATGAGAAATCAATCACAGAATTTTGGCCTTGATGTGCGGTTCCTACCCAAAAGTGGCAGAAAGAGCTATCCGTGCATTGCTTCCGTTTGTGTCGACATATCTTTGTGAGTCAGGCTTTTCAACTCTGTTGCAAATTAAAGCGAAGCAACGTAGTAGATTAGAGGTAGAAAATGACCTGCGTTGTGCCCTTTCAAGCACTCCTCCGCGTATCCCAGAATTGGCGAAGAAAAAAAAATCACAGGTTTCTCATTGACTGTAATCTTCATCCGAATAAAATTAATTACAAATTTACAATATCCTGGTATTCTATTGAATTTTTTGTTTATTGCATTATGCATCAGTTTGGTCTGTTAAGTAATTTATTATAAATAAAAAAAAAACTATTTTACTTTTATTCAAGTTTTATAATCCATCAACATTTTCAATTGGCATTTAATTTGTAAAACTCCACTATAAAAATAATCCATGTAAAATTGTAAATGTATATGTACTAATATGGAAAAAATATAGGATTTTCAGTATTATATGCATATTATTTGGAATGCACTTTTTGAGGCAGACAATCTTGGAAAGGAGGGGGGAATGACATTCTGACATATGGTGAAAGGGGTGCATGGGGCAAACAAGGTTGAGAACCACTGGTTTAGACAATTTCAAGACCCTTTTCTATGATGTTTTCCTCGCAAATGACCTAAAATTACCTAACCTAACTGGTGGGCTAAGCCCCTCTGGATCTCCTGGTATATTCGTCATTTATGAGGGGAATGTCATAGAAGTGTGTCTTAAAATTGTCTAAACCACCATTAAAAAATACATTACTGAACTCGAGAGCCATAATGGTTGAAAATGTAAATTTTCCAGGTAAATTTTTTTGGGCCATCCTTGTATTTAGATATCTAATCTAACCAAACCAACCTAACCTAGCCACAGAACTCAGGAACTATATCTAATCTAACTGGGGGGGGGGGGCTTCATTTCCCAGACGGCTGAAGCTAAAATAATACCTAAAAGAATCCTAGTGTTAATGGTAAAAAATTCGAATTGCCCATTAGGTTAAAAACGAATGTTGACCTGGGTAACTTTGTCCAGTTCATGGACCGAGGGGGTGTTACTGGTACAACTGCTTCTTAAAGTACACAAATTACTATTTCAAAAATTTTACAATAACCAATGCAGTACCATTCTATATTTTTTCTCGGTAATGGGGTTACGGCTTAATGGTCTGATAACTCGGGGTACCTGGTGAGAAAAAGTTTGAGAACTCCTGACTTAAAGAAAATGATTTATAGAAGAAAAATGAGGAAATTGTCAAAAAAAGTACAGTACGGGATTACATGAACGTCGGTGAGATAATAGTCTTGCTGTTTGTCATTCACTGTGGCTGTCAGGAATGCACCCACAACAAATAATGAGCATATACTGTACTTTAGTTCCATGTAGTGTACTGTATATTATGACAGTTCCAAAATGCATGTTCAAAGTTCAAAATAAATGTCACTTGGGTATTATTGCATAAGTCACCTGGTATTGAATTTTGAGAATTTTATGCTAGCAATAAATACTTTAGACAATTTTAAGACTTCTGTGACATTTCCTTTGCAAATGGCTTGTATATTCGGGGGGTGTCTACCCCCCCTGGTTAGGAAGCTAGGTTAGGTCATTTACGAGAGATACGTCATAGAAGAAAAGTTTTAGAATTGTCTATACTATTGATTGCAACCATAAAATTATCAGATTTTAATCCCGGGTGACATGCAAATTTACCGTCACTTGTGAACATTCATTGTGTACCTGTACAGTGTTGCAAATTTCAGGTGCTACAGTAACCTATAGTTCTGATATTGCACAGCTTGCCTCTAGCATCTGCAATTTTTAATTTATGCATAATCTTGTACAGTTCATTACTGTATATGAAACTTAACTTGTTTCAGAGCCAAGAAGAGGCTAGATGGTGAAGACGTTTACGGGAGTAATATTTATTGCAGCTTTGGCAAGAACTTGGACAAGGAAGGATCTCCAAAAGTTAAATGTGCTGGTAAGTTCATTTCCATAATGCATATTGCATATTCTAAATTTGTACAGTAGTGGCGTGGCTTGATGCCATGATTGGTGGCTGGGGTACAGTAATAGGATAAAGAATATACACATTCTAGTGCACAATGTTGTTGTTAAAAATAAACTGTTTATTAAGTACGAACGTTCAAGATAAGAAAATTTGCTTATAGACAGTCCTCAGCTCTGGCCAGTGTCTATGCAAGTGGTGGCTGTTTAACTTTAATTGGCTTTTCCCTAATGGTTTTAGCTGCATATTTTGATCTAGATAATATTTTATTAATGTTATTAATGTACATTAGTTGTGTACAGTACTAGTTATCATTAGTTAGGTAGTTTCTGTTGTTCATGAGCTGATTTCATGTCTTTGAGGTATGATGATGGGATTTACTTGTTATTGGGGAACTGAGCCCTCTTTTTCCCATACGCTCTTTTCATTTGCTATAAGAAAATTCACTCGAGGAATGGTTTTCAGGAACCTAACCCATCCGCATAGTGAGGGATCCTGTATAACAATTGGGTGTACTGTACAGTACTGTAATGTTTTCATAAAACTGGACTAGATGAAAAACAATGCGTCATATTTTTTAAACCTTACATCTCAACTTCATCCCGTTTCAAATCTCTTTTCAGGAAAATTCCCTCAGCATCAATCTGCACGTGACAAAGAATCAGATATACCAGTGTGTGTGAAGACGGAAGGATTACAGATATTTCCAAACGCCTCGCAACCAGTCATGGGAGAAGTGGGTGCAACCAGTCTGTCTTGGAGGGTGAAGGACCCCTTGAGTGACTCCCCATCCTTGCAGCAGCCATATTCAGCTTTCAAAAGTTATGCAAAGACTCCATCAATACCTGTCTCTTCAGAACAACCATATAATTCGTAAGTACATGTGTTGCTTTTAATTCTCTCCAGTTCAGTAAACATATAAAATTGTTTATTACAATTAATCCAAGTTCCCTGTATTTACTACATTTAGGCCTCTTTTCGATGCACTATTCCTGGAGTAGCTCTCTACTGGGAGAACTGATCTCTGAATAAAGAATAGTGTTCAAACAGTTCAGTCACTGACCCACCCAAATCTTAATTTGTGCAAAACCCTGTAACATAACATTAAACAATTATTCAGGGATTTTTTTGTTGCTTTACTTGGTGCTCTTGTAGAAGTGGTTACCACTTGTTTGTACTAAAGCACAAGGGCAGGCTTTGCAGATTATGTGGAACATCTATTTGTCTTGGGCAAGTGACGTATGAAATTTACTTGCCTGGATATATTTTTTACTTGCCCCACAAATTTTGGACGAAATTTTCATGCATGGTTTTCTTTTTATGGGAAAAGTTAAATGAACATTTTAAACCATTAACATAAAGGTATACAGTATTGTGTGTATTAACTCAAAGATCACTCCTTTCTTAATACTGTACCTTGTACCCTCACCCTTCTTCCAGTGGTACTTGAAAAACCCTGTCAATTTTCCTTGCTGATATTTTCTTTAATTTGTAACACAGCTCTGCATATGCAGGAATCAGTGGGAGGTGTTATAAAAATTTTCAGACCAGGTCATTGTGAGAATGAGCTATTGTATTTTATTTTTTATACAATTTAAAAAAGTCTTGTTATCCTATGGAGGATCCGAGTGCAGAAAACCGTGTACAGTATAACTTATCAAGCAACATCAACTTTTATATCCAATTGTAATGAGTGATTTATTCCATATGTTCATGAAATAATGAATTAATATTTTATTATAGTGCACAGCAGAGATTCATGCCTTTAATCCTCAATTTAGGGCTGGGGAAAAAATGGGCTACTAAATAGCACCACATTATTTTATTTGTCAATGCATTTCCAAATATTGTATTGCATTGCTGAAATAATGACCCTCATTTTCTCGAGTTTTACTGTGGCCATGGAGTCGTGCAGAATACATACTACTTGAGGAAATACTGTAGTTCATCATTTCCCAAGGGTTAATTCTTCGTACTCGAGCAATTGAACATTTGCATCAAAGTTCTCTTCAGTAACAGGACTAAAGTTTGTCATATTGGCTCATGTTTACTCTTATTTTATTCCTCTCATTAGTCACTTATGGTATACCTGTACAATTGATGTCTTTGGTTTTCTTGAGAAATAATGTTATATTGTGTGGAAATTCAGACAGCGAATGTGGAGAAGCAGCAGTTACAAGTCTCAAAACCAGACCGCTGTTAGCGGTGTAAGTGGAAACTTCTCAGGATTCTCACGTGACTACAGTTTGCACAATGGTGAAAATACTCCAGACTCCACTGCCTCCCAGCCTTTGTACTTAGATAAAACACCAGACCAGTTCAAAAAAGGCCGTTCCCAGAGTAAGTTTCTATGTGTTCCACTGTATTATTTACAGGTATGCATTATGTACCATGTAGTAGTTTTGATATAATTTTTATGCCCCCAATACCTGTGTCGGGAATCATAGTTTTCATTTTCTGTTCATTCATGTTAAAGTTGCACGTCAGTTACCTAGTATAAAAAGGGTTATATGCATACTGTATATACAGGGGGGACTGGAATACAGTATATGCGAAGTCACAACTTACGTGTGGATCCCAGGAACGTAGTAGACCTTTCATGCTTTGCGACCCTCTTGTATATGAAAAATTAAGGCTTTTTAAGCAAACAATCTGGGGTTGAACTATACATGAGTATATACAGTAATAATGTTTTCTCTGTACAGTAATGGGCAAAGTTGAAGTCATTTGAAGATGCAAGGCTCCCAAGTTTTAAAGTGGGCAAAATCCTGTGTGCATGTTATTTTAAGGAATGATTTTCAGTGGTTACATATATTAACTTTTTTTCCAGAAGTGCACTTCAGGACGAGTTCACCACCAAGCTTTTCATTTAGTAACAAAATTCCTGATTCTTATTCACTTAGCAATGCTCCCAGGTAAGTGAGGAATTTTTAATTACAGTATATGAAAGCTAGGCAAAGGTTAAATTTTTTAGTCCTTGTCAGAAGTTTTATGCATTTATATGGGGCAAAGCTGATTGTGATGGCCAAGCTTCTTTGTGATAATACTGTACATTCGCGGTCAACAGTTCGCTTCCGCCCAAAATAAAGCAACATTGATCCCAAATGAGATGAAGCAGTCAGGATAAGTCAGTTTGGAGATTCATTCCTATGACTCGGCTTCACCACGGGGAGTGAACTGTTGTCCTCGACTATACACAAGTTTACCTAGGTATGAAAGAAAGGGAGAGAAAAGTTTGGTAAACAGAGTATACAAGAGGTTGGTTGTAACAGGATGAAGACCATAGAGATGGGAAGGATGGGGTGATGGATGTAGGAGATTTTTTACTCGTGTACAAAGAAATGTATATTCCCTTTGTGTTTGCCCTTAGGACAATTTTTTTTTTTACCTGTATTGTATATATATGTGTATGTGTGTGTAGAAACACACACACACAAACATACAAATAAATAATAATGGGAAAATACTCTCACAAATAATCTGAAACAAATTTATTAAATATAGACAGTCTACCCTCAAGTTGTGCTTTATTAATAAAGTAATATAGCACGGACTTGAGGGTAGACTGTCACATTTTTGATAAGTTTGTTTCTGATTATTTGTGAAAGGATTTTCCAATTATCATTTGTGTGTTGTGTGTGTTTCTACACACACACACACACACACACACACACACACACACACACATTTACAATACAGGTAAAGGAAATTACTGTCTCTAGAACAAATGGCTCCCGGTCCCAGCTGCAAAAATGCTGGCAACTTTAAAACTACCCACAGACATTCTTGGGTACATCCAGGGTATTTTCCGCGAATAATAGAGGACCGCTAAATAAAAATCTGCAAACTTGGGTGCCCCTGTACAGGTTTAAATTTTAAAAGATTTTCTTGTGATGTATCACCATGGGTGAGTTTATGATTTCTTGTATTCAAAGTTCCTCAGTCTAAGCGTGTTCTGTCTTTAATAACTTGTGTGAGAAGTTTTTCTTTTTCAACCATCTTCCCACTAAAGCAAAGTGGTCAGAAACAGCAGTTTACACAAAACACACAATTTCCCATCACTTCTTGTCATCTATTCATATAAACCAGTAAGTATAATACAGTATTTTTTTCTATTACTACTTGTATGTAGATAAATGATTTTTTTTTAACAGAATGAGGAGTCCATCCCCTTTACTCTGGAGTGGAGTCAGTCCCATGAAGCACACATGGAGTCCTACCACCACCACGGATGTGCATAATCAAGTCCTTTGTGGTTTGAGGGAACTGCACCTGGGGGAGGGAACTACTGTGGTAAGTTTTGAAAACTATTTTATTTTATTTTTTAATGGGGAATAGCCCACCTGGGCATGGGTCATTGACCCACAACGGGGCCTGGGGGGGGGGGAAATGAAGAGTAAAAGAAATTAATTAAAACCTCGATAACTGGGAACATGTGGGTCTCTGGCCTTGCCGAGTTATCCCAAATTTCGACTTATTGAGGCACTTTTCCCCTCCCACAAAAAAAAAAAAAAATAAATAAATAAATTAATTAATTAATTATTGACCCATACAGTATATGTGTACATGTAATAACTAAATGTAAAAAAGTAACACTTACCAGCACTGCAGGTGAAGAATGAAGCATCATGGTAGGCGACACAGGCATAGTAGGTGACGCAGGTGGCCAGATATGCCGAGATTTTCCCAAGATAATTTTATATACAGTAGTTTTTTGACTGACAACTGTACCTGTACTTCACACACATGAACATTCAAATACACGATCTTTTACACTTTTCTAATTACTGGAGTTACTAAAAATAAAGTGGTGGTCATTGACCTAATGGGCCCTACCAGAGGGGAAATCCTAAGCAGAGAAAAAGATGTACCATTGCTGATGGGTGATGTTGCAATGTGTGAAGCAATGAGGGTAAACCATGTGGATATTTGAACACTTCTTGTGGAGGGAGAGCATCTGAATAAGTGATCTATTACAGCAGTAAGAATGATAATGATATTAAATACAGGATGACTGTACGAATGTGTGTGTGGGTTTGTTCCTGATTCCCGTCATCCTGCATTACAGTAGGAAGAGGCTTAAGACAACATAAATAAGAAAACATAAATCAAAAACTCTTGTGCCAAACACTGAGATATTCAACCAACACAACTGGGTGGGACAGAAGTACAGTAGAAAAAATTATACTATATCAATTACAACCCCCACCTGTGTATACTGCACACAGCCAAACTGTGGAATACTCTGCCTCCTCCTGTGTTTCCAGACTCTTACAATGTCTCACCTCAACAAGCTGGTTTTATGGCATCTTCATGGTGTAGATTAATTTAGTCTCTTTTTATACAGTAAACTCTCAATAACTCTTCATTTGAAACTCTGAATTTCATATACCGTAACTCGGCATGGAATATGGTCTCGGAATGCATTATAGTACAACTCGGGGAAACGCCGATATAGTGTACTGTATCTACTTGGGGGTCGATGAATTTCAGAATGAACACTGCAACTCCTGTTATCTCGGTAGAGTTGCCGAAATACTTCATCCGGCCGAATCGTCTAAATATCTTGTAAGGATAGTTTTTTTGATTGGCTATAAATAGAAGTCACTGATGTTGAAGCCTTTTAACTGTAATTTATAATTAATTACAGTATAATATTTTGCAGTAAAAGTAATTTATGGTCTGAATTTTATCTTTTTAATTTTTTTATACAAGACTGCATTAAGGTATACGTACTTATGAAGTTGAAAAAGCGACTCCTGAGATTGTATGTCTTGCAGAAAGATGCTGTGAATATGCTGTTTTGGGTATGAAAGGAGTCGTGAGATTAATTTTTGCTTCGTAATATTTTTACAGTTATCCTGTGCCTAGTCAGTGATACTGATCTGCATACTGTTTGGTGTAGAAGCAGACTTAATTATTTTCTCTTCTCATTTACAGGAGACAAGCCTGGGAAGTACACCACAAATACCTGTGGAGTTACAAGTAACTAACTTGGATCAAAATATAGATGCTCGAGAGATGAAACGTATACTTTTCACAGTATTTCGGGATCATGTCATGGTAATTAACTTTTCAGTACAAAAGTTTATTCTACCAATGGCCATTGTTAAAAAGAAAATGGTTTAAAGAAAGTTTGTTTTATACAAAAATTGCTTTGTGTTCAGAAATTAATATTCTCCTTTTTAATGCCCTCTGCTTGGCAGTCCATTATAATAGTGGCCAATTTCCTCAGCTGGCACATGTCAGCTGCTAATTGGAGTACTGTACTGTAGAGACTTTCAAATTATTAACTTGGAAGGATCCATGAAAACGCTAATTTGTCCAGCTAAAGATGTTCTGCTTAGAATAGGTTATCTGGCTGTTGTGTTAAGCCACAAATGTAGAATTGATCCTTGACCTCCCTCCTTTTTTTATAAAACCTCCAGCCAGGCACCTTCAATATCCCCTCACTTTTTTCAGATTTTTTTTTCCCCAGTACATTGAGGATGTAGCCACCCTGGCATAATAGTTCTGATTTGTTGGACACCAGTTTAAAACCTTCTTCCCACCATTCCTTCCAGGATGGAGGTCAACATCAGTATAGGTTGTGCAGAGGTGAAAATTTGGGTAATCAGTCAAGTCATTAACTTAACAGTCCTGGTAGACACGAGGGAGCCAGTCAACAACCTTGAGGGTCCTCTTCACCCCTTATCATAATGGGTTGCCTGGCTGAGGGTTTCTGCTTTAAAATAAATAAATAAATTAAATACTGTAAGTACTGTAGTGATAATCTTTTTCAGGTTTTACATGTTTCGGTGTTTGTACAATCAGACGGTAATTTGGCTGCATCCTTGCGTGTACCCTCACAACAGGATGCGCAATATGCCATTTCTCAGTTACACCGCAAAAAGATTGGTGCCAAAAGAATCATCATATCATATGTCAACCATAATCAACCTTCTCCAGAACTGAAGAGGTATGTTGCTTATAGTTTATTTATATTTTATCATGATTGATGTTGTGAAATTTTTTAATTTCCTTTTTTTTATACCTCTTTTTCTTCCCCTCCAGGTCAAAAGTTATTGCTTTGCTCCAGGAAGTTCCTGGGAAGAAACTTCCTCTGTTCAAGTTTCGTGAACTATACGAAAAGCGTTTCCATGAGACCATAGGAGTGTCAGAAATGTATAATATGAGGGATATTGTGACAGTTTCTGACAACAATGTTGGAAGAATGGTGTCTCTTCACCCAGAGTTTCGACATATACAGTCTCCAGTTTTTACTGAATCTGCAGAAGAGGACGATGGTAACATTTCCAGGTTCTGTAAGGTACATAGTCTTGGTCCAGATGAATCAGTTGGATGGGCTGAACGTGACCAGAGCACCAGCCTTCCAAATATAAACATGACATTGCGAGCTCTGGCTGCTAGTATTCACTCTTTGTTACAGTCTCATTCTGGTTTTCTTCCACTAGCTAGCTTGGTTGAGTGTTATAAAGCAGAGATTGGGCCACTTGAAGAATATGAAGATGGGGTATCCATTGAACATTTGGTTTCATGTTTACCAGGTGTATGCATATTGACTGCAACAACTGGATTCAAATACATTCAGTGGTTAGAGAACAAAGTGATCGATGAGGCAGAAGAGTTGGCCCGGTGTGTGAGTCCTCCTCTAGTAGGTCAGTTAGCACTTTTTTCACGTGAACTTGTGGACCTCCTCAAAACTTTTCCACACTGCCGTCTTCCTTTTTCTCGCTTCATACCTGCTTATCACCACCACTTTGGACGACAGTGCAGGGTTGCTGACTATGGATTTACAAAGCTTGCTGACCTCTTTGATGCTCTACCTCATGTCATCCAAGTATTAGGAGATGGAAACAAACGTATACTCACACTAGCACACAAAGCCCAGATTAAACGTTTCTCGTCAGATCTCTTAAGAGTACTAAAGGGTCAGCCGACTAAATCCATAACTCTGGAAGCATTTCCTGTTGCTTATGAGAAGGCTCTCACTAGACCATGGAGCATCATTGATTATGGTGTGTGTGATGTAGAAGACCTTTTAGTAGAAGTCAGTGAAACTACTGTGATAGTCACTAGATCTGGGACTGAAACTACAATAGCCATTCCCAAGAGGGAACAGACTCCCGAAGAAATGGAAAGAACTCGCCAGTTTGCTGCAGAAGTTGTTGAGCTACTGCGTCATTCTCCTCAGTGCAAGATGCAGTTTAACAGATTTATTCCTGCATATCACCATCACTTTGGAAGACAGTGTAGGGTGGCAGATTATGGCTTCAGCAAGTTGATTGAGCTCTTTGAAGCCATTCCTGATATTTTGCAGGTATGTGATGTGATTTAAATATTTTTTCTAACCACAAATTTATAAGATATCATAGGAAAAACTGGAGATTAAATTTTTTAATTAATATAGGTTACGAGTCTTAGAAAAAGATACGGTACAGTATATCTAGATTAGAAAAAACTTGTGCTTAATCTGAAGGATGTTGGGGTTCAGTGTATCAGACAGAAGATTGTAGAAGGAATACAACCCACCGTAAAATCTTAAGTGCAGTCTCGTTCAAGATTCTTCGAACACTGCTGGAGACAGCTGGCATCTCAAGGCTGTTTGTTTACTATAGTACGTAGTATAATACAGCCACTCCTCGACTTACGAAAGGATTAGGGACCCAAATCCAGGTCGTTAGTTGAAAATGCGAAGATAATACATAGAAAATCTAAAATGGGTGTCTCTTTTTCTTCTCAGCACCACAAAACTCTCACTTTTATGAATGCCAGTCATTTTAAAGGGAATTACAAACGAAAATTTTGTCAGTACACAGCGCAATCACTAACGTCGGGACTCAAAAATACTTGATTTGAAAATTTTTTGGTACGACTGGGGCGGTCGTATGTCCGGGTGGTCGTAAGTCGAGGAGTAGCTGTATAATATGAAACAACAAAGCCCAACCATTAAATTAAGCAACGGGGTACTAAGTATCCGATCACTTTTACATTTATTCATAAATTTTACTCCGTACTATAGTAAACAAACGGCCTTGAGTTGCCAACTGTCTCCAGCAGTGTAAGAAGAATCTTGAACGAGACTGTACATTTACCATATAATATTTTAAAAATTGCGCTTGGCTTAGATGTTATAAGGACTTGAGTATATTGGATAACCTTTTCACAAATGGAGCCTTGCCATAAAGGAAAAATTGCCTTACTAGATATATTCTACTCCTATATTCTTACCCAATGTTCATCCACTAGCCCACCCAACTGCTAGTTTCTCGGCTTTGTCATAAATGCTTCGTAAGGGAATTTTCCATTCCATTTTAATGAAAGTAAAGGCTTAATGCTTGATGTACCATGACCAAACTAAAGGACAATTCTTCAGCTAAGAATGAGTATTGCTTTTAATTACAGAAGGATTGAGCCAGTGGTAAAGGTTAATACAGGGTGAGTCAAAAGTTTCCGTACATTGGCAAAATGATCACTTTATTATGCTGTGCCTTCATCGGTTGCTGTTTGTGGATGGCCATTTCTCGGTTGGTCTGCAACGCTTCCAGTCTTCTGGAACTTATCAGTGAGTTTGGCAACGGTGTCATGTGTGATGTGTGCGCCTGGGGCGTGTCTTCTGTTAAAATCCTCGGCAACCTTGCGACAGCTTCCTCATCCTGCCAGGAGAATGATCTCAATACGCTCTTCTTGGGACAAAGGCATCTCAGCATGTCTCCTGCAAAAAGAAACAAAAAATTTCCAAAATCCCTTTGTATGGAGACTTTTGACTCACCCTGTATTTATGGACCAGTCCTTTCAGCAGTGGAAGAGGAGGCTACAGTAAAACTAGATACAGTACTTGGCTTTCTTGTATGACTGCATATTAAATTGTGTCCCAACCCGTTAACTAAAACAAAACACAACTTGAATACTTTGGGACGGTTTTGATGGGAATATGTGTGGGTAGGAGGTTGTTGGGGTACAGCACCTGAGTAGATACATTACTAGACTTGTCAGAAAGGTTACCAGTGAATGGATACCTGACAATAGTTGAGGAAAGTGGGTGCGTGTACAAACCTTTGTAATAATAGAAATAGGAAGTTTGATTGATGTTTTTACATTTACCCTGTAGCTTGAGTGGTGGTGGTATTTTGTTTTTGGTATTAGTAATATTAATGATAGAAATTTTCAGGCTTATGATGATGAGGAAGATGGTGAAAAGCATTTGCAGCTTGTGGAACGGGAGCGTGTGAGGGTGTTGGGTGATCAGGTTGCGGTTGTTGTTAGAGGTGCTCCACGCCAAGCAATTAGACTCTCTGCGCTGACTCAAGTGTTTACACGTTACTATGGGTATTCCCTCAAACCCAATCATTATGGATCAAATTCTTTAGAGGAATTAATGGGAAAACTAAGGAATCACGTAAAGGTTAGTATTAAGATGTTTGTTTGGACAGTAATTTTGAGGGCGAGGACACAGTCTCATTAGTTTTAAAGATGAATAATTTTCTTAAATCACAACCCAGTGTATGTAGTTGTTCACTGGGAATTGAAAACTGATGTTGGCATGTGGTGGTCATTTAACCTAGAATTTTTGATGCGTAAACTTAACACTTCTCCAACAGATCAACGCACTTCGTAGCTACACTCTGCCATTGTGCATTCTTCTTGTCAAGTAAACTCTTTTGCAACTGATAGTGTGTTGCATCTGGCTTTCCATACAAGAATATTAAACAGACTTTCCTTTAGCATTAATTTCTTTGCCATCTTTGTTGATTTATTATGATTTCCTCCTGAAAAAATTAAATAATTTTGCTCTAGTGTATGACCTATGATAGACTGTATAAGTGTGACTAGTATATGAACACGTCTTGTCCACCAAATCTGGTATAAAGTACAATAAGTACAGTATAGGGTCTGGATTTATTGTATTGTCCATCTGATGGTTTTAAGACAAAATGTTACAGCACTTACATTAATTATGAGTACTGAATAGCATTATTTCTAAAGGCTTTGTGATCTTGTTTGTTAGGTCTGTGTTGGGTTACAGCTGATTAATGGCAATTTTTAGGTTGGAACAGACATCAAGAAACACCCAAAATAGTAAGTGCTTATGTTGATGTGTGGATAACTTTATTACTGATGTTTGTGGTGATTATTTTCAGATGGTGGAGGCAGGAGATGAGCCAATAGTGACTCTGGTGGACCGTGGATATGTCCATGATGTAATGCTAAGGTCGAGACAACTTCTGTGGGATGACCCTTCCTGTTGTTACCCATTAGACAAGTTTGTGCAGATGTATACTGATCGATACAATCATCCTCCAAGTTTAGAGATCATAAAACGGGATTTAGAAGAAGTGTTAACTGTAAGTATACAGTATATATGAAAACTGTCCAGTACATTATTTGATATTTACATTATTCAGCAGAACAGTATTGCAGATAAGCCATCATACTGTTAAATTTTTCTTCATTAATTTTTGCAGAGATAAAATGCTATGATTTTTAATTTCAGATTGAAGGAGAAGGGAATGATGCCAAAATAAGCCTTGTGCCACTGCAGATATTTGCACGGGATCTATTGACCCTGCTTCATGAAGCTGGAGGTCGCATGCTGCTCTTGAATTTTGACACGGCATATCTTGACAGATACGGTAATCTGTAATTTTAGTACTTTTAAATAAAATACTTTGTAATTAAACATTTTACTTGTTTATTTTTCAATATTGTAATCTTGTTTTTTGTTTTTCAGGTGTTGCATGCCGTCCAGCAGCATATGGCTTTCCCAATATTGTTGCTCTCGTTCAGGCTTTAGGAGACCTGGTGACAGTCCGGGGTCGTGGAACAAAGAGGATTCTTGTCCTTCATCGTGACACTGCTTCATCACCACCAGTCAATAACACCACTCCTAATAGGTAAGGGCAAGAATTTATTACCAGTTTTTATACTACACTGTTACAATGGGATGACTCTTTAGGGCCTTTAAGCATATTTGGGTTTTAAGAACCATTAATTCAACAGTGAGAATATTTTACCCTTGTTGTGTAGCACCGAATGCTGTATCAACATCAACACTTGCCATTGTTCAATTTTGTGTTTTTCCTTTCAACTTTCTCTGTCTAATTGTTATTCTTACTTTCAACTTGAAACTCTCCTCTATTTATACTAGCACTTGTATTTCCTAATTTAATGTTAATTCTTTGTTTTGATGTTATTCCTTTTTCATAGTCAAGGAGGTGGTTAATTTCATTTTTGTGATTTAACCTAAAATATCTAATAGTTGATTATTACAGTTTTAAGCACACATTTGTAAACATGCTTGAGCTAACATCTTAAGAGGTCATTAAAGCGCCTTTATACTTGATGTGTGTTGAAGACAATTTGAAAGTTGGTTTGTATTTGCAGCACAAATCTGTATGGTCATAATACAGATCGAATAAATGAAAACGGTGAAGCAAAGCCACCTCCAGCTTCCCAGCTACCTCCACTACACAAGATAACATCACCTCCACCCTGTAACTACCAGCACTACATACAAGGTGTGTAGTGTACACTATTTACGGAATTATCTCGGAACTGATTTATACCATTTTAAGTGACTTGTGATGATGATAGTGATATCCCAGTTAGCCGGAATAATTTGTGCATAGGTCTTCTGGATTGAGAGATTTGCGGGTATTGAGACGAATTTTCTCTTCCTCGGAAAAATTGCACATCTCTGGAATTTTCCTGCGTAGCTGTAATTGCACAGCCTTGTCTCTGTATCATCTACATTTGAAGTTAATATTTTATAAGTGTCACAATCTGAATCCCACATTCCATGGGCACTCGAGCATTTTTCTGATACACCATCCCTTTTTATTTTATAAATATCTGCATGTTTATTTGTTGTTCTGTTAGCAAAACTACAAAGAAATATAATACAGGACCCCCCCACCCCCCTTTTATTCAGTTTTGTTTTCAGATAGAAAGCATGTTAATAAATTATATTAATACTGTATTCTATATTTTGAGAATTAATGGATATATTACTTTCTCACCAGAACCAAACACTAATGGTCACCTAGTGATGAGTGTGAATCCTCCAACATCTCACCAGTCATATCAACCATCACCACCTGTTGTAAGTATTTGTATTTTTTCACAAAAGCCATCAGTGGGAAATCTACAGCCCACAGGCTGAAATAGCTCTACAACCCTATTCATACTTTTCAGTGTGCTCCAAAGTAAAGAATATCTGGAATTAGGATGAGTAAAGCTTACTACTTTTTCTTGAACTAGTGACTTGTCTTGATTTATTCATATTTTTTGCTTGTATGTGTGACAGGTGTATCCAGGGTCTCCTGCACCAACAGGAGGTTCTGTGATGTGGGGTCAGATGTGGTCACCACAGTACCCAGTTATGCCACCTTTGTCACCTGCACATTACATGGTGAGTATTTTCTTCCTACGTGTTTTAGCTGTAGTTGTCTTGGCAGTTAAAAGAAAGTTGGGTTTGCGAGTTCAAAAAATTAATCTATTAACAGCAGAGAAAATGGAGCTGTATTTAAACTGATATTTAGACATGCGAGTATTGGTAAAATGAGGCTTGAAATCGACTCTTTAAAGCAGTGGTTCCCAAACTGGGGGCCATGGCCCCTCCAGCAAAATTTAGGGGGCCATAAGCTGAGGCTATGTACACATAAAAATCCCAAGCCCCACCACACTAGAACAGCCAGTCAGCAGCTGAGCCAGCCAGAGATATGGATTGGGAGAGGGGGGCCATGGATAAGGATCATATATGAAAAGTGGGTAATGATCAGAAAAAGTTTGGGAACCACTGCTTTAAAGGTTGAATTACTTAAAGATTGATAGATGCGCACCATAAATATGCAGTTCATGGTTGCCAGGTCTATTTTTGCTCTGCCACTACGGACTCCTACATACCCGTTCTTGTTCGAATTGCATTGCCTTCCAATTAAAGCTAGGATAAAGTTTAAACTGTGCCTAATGATTTTTAAGGCACTTATAATTTGATGAGCCTAAGTATTTGGCCAACATACTAAACCCTCTGACTTCACAATGTTCTTATGCTACCTGATTCTTTTTCTATACAACACCCAGATTATACAATCAATTGTCTGCATCCATGTAGCAGCTGAAGTCTGTGGATATACTGTACAAATGATACAGGTTGAACTGTCAGTTTTTGTAATATTTTTTATAGTAGTTTTTAATTCTCGGGTGTGTTTTAAACGCTAGTGAATTCTCTAGAAGAATTGACACTTTGAGAAACAAAAAAAACAGCTACATATATTATTATTATGAAGGGTAGGGGTGAGTGGAAACCATTGCCCTTGGTAGTTGTAGCTGTATTGTAATACAGTATAAAAAATAATACACAGTTTCTGTAATCTAGGTACCAACTATTCCAATGAGTTGGGGAAGTGTAGCAGCCTCCCCTGTTGGTGCCATTACTTCTACCAGCCCCCCTGCCCCACTGGTAGGCACCATGGCACCCCCAGTCTCCATACATATGCTTGATGAACTCTCCAAGCAGGTACGGTATTATTTACAAAATCCTTATAGTGTACTGTAAATTCCAAATAGAAAAAATTATGTTCTTCAGCAGTGTCTGTACTACTTTATCTTTTACCTTTCTTGTCATTGGGGAGCTGAACTTTATGTTCACCATTTGTTCTGATATTCACTATCCGAAAGATTTTTGAGGTACTTAACCAATTCGGATAACAAGGGATACCTGTACAGTGTACTGTGATATCCCCGTCAGCTGGAACAATTGGTGCAGAGCACTTCTGGGAATGAGAGATTTCCAGGTAATGAGACGACTCTTCAAACCCGGAAAAAATCCCTCTTCCCTGGAATTTTCTGGGTAACAGAAAAATTTTCTCGGAATTTCCAGAAAATGCGCCTAATTTTCGTCTCGAACCCGGAAAAAACTCTCCCATCCCCGGAATTTTCCGGTTATTGGGAAAATGTTCTCAGGATTTTCCGGAAAATGTGCCCCTCGGAAAATCGTTTCTAAAGCCGGAATTTTCCGGAAAATTACGGCTTTGGGTATGATTTTCCAAGAAATTTCAACTCCGGCTATCAGAGAGTTCCAGGTTTGAGGAATTCCGGCTAACGGAGATATTCTGTATTAGCATGAAGCTTGATTATAAATTAATCTCCAAGAATTTTTAACACTGCCAGAAGGAAGCATTAACAAAACTGTGTGGTATACATTGAGGCCCACAGTAAAAATACTGTACACTGGCCAGGTTGTTTCAGTATAGTTGCACCTCAAATTATTGTTTTAAGAACTTTAAATGGCATAGGTCTGTATGGGAGTTAAATATTATTACTGTACTATTTGATGAGAATAAGATTGATTTAATAAAAAATATTCTGCAATATTAACTACACACATGCACCATCATACAATTAAACAGTAACAGATCATCCACTGGTCTATACTCAGTGGGTGCTAGGTGCAATGTTTTCAATTCCAATGCACAGAGGTTTTATTTATTACAATAGATTTGTGATGATCCCTTGAATACATTTTGTGTAGTATTGGGGTACTATATAAGAGGTACAGTACTGTATTGTACTGTATAGTAATGTTAAGGTTACCAAACATCATAATTATAATATTTTTTTTGTAAACATACATTTATTAAATTCTGTAGGAATGAAACTCGTTTAAACTATATTTTGAGATGACTATAAAATGTTGCTTTCAGGAAAGCAAGGGAGCTGAAGATTATACTACACCTCCAAGTGCTAGTGAATTGCCATCTCCAGAGCTGTTTACACAGATGTCTGCATCAGAGTCGGCACCTGCCAGTGCACCCACCTGTGGTGATACACAAATGGTAATTGGTCATTGTATTATTGCAGATCACTAAGAATTATGTAGAACTCGCCTTCATGCTGTACCTTATTCCTTCAATTAGATTGGATGGAATAGGTGCTTAAAGCATCACAAGATACTTTTATTACAGTGATCCCTTGCCAACTTGGACTAATAGGTGTGAAAATCCATCCAAGTAGGCCTGGAATGAAGTGATGGTTTTGGAATTTCTTGAAATATTGATTTTATTGGAAAGTTCTGGGGATTGATGATTTTGTCAACAGTAATATCACTGTACACTGCAACATAAAAACTTAAAATGGCAATAATAAAGGTATATAAATAACAATAATGAAAGCATGAAACAGCAAAAATGATACAAGCTAGTGTACTATACACTCGGTGTTGCAGTCTCGGAGGTTGGTGGTCTCGACTATCACCTTCGCATCTACTCCAGCTGGGAAGCTGCTTTGCTACCTTCCTTAGCAATAGTGCTCCATGCTGCAGATTTTATATACTTTTTTGGGGCTCATTTTGTTTGTAGGATTGTGTGTGTGTAACCCAAGTAAAAAAAGAGAAAGATGATTACATATATCCGGAGATTGCAAGTTGAAAAATAACCATTGCATAACGTATAGCTAACAGGTGGGGAACGGTTGAAAATTTCCCCACTTGGCCTGGTAGCGAGATCTAAGGGTACAGTAGGCAAGCCCAGGATTAAGGAGCATGTAACAAATGTGGTGGTGAGTAGAAAATTCATACATGATAATAGGTGCTTACTATTCAAGTTTTCAATAATTTTCAACTTGCTGTTATTGTATACAGTATTATAGTTCTTGGTTCATCATTGCATGAATACTGTACTATCGAACAACTCCAATAACTGACACCTGTCATTATACCTGAGGGTTTTGCTGATAGGTTTAAGGTGTCCATTATAACTGGGTTTTGTCAGTGTCTGTTGTACTGAGGGTATACTATGTCATCATGCTCGCCTCGCAAGTGAGTGGACCCGGGTTCGATCCCCGTGTAGGGTGAAACTATGGACAAGTTTCTTTATGCCAATCGCCTCTGTCTACCCAGTAGTAATTGGGAACCTGGATATTAATTGACTTGCGGATCATGTTCCGTAGCAATGGTTAGCCAGTGGAGTTGACGAGTTGTCCGGTTGTCTCAGACTATTTCTTGACACTTGGTTATGCAACCCATCAACTTAGGGTGTGGTGTTGGCGACAGCTTCTACACCTTAAATAAACGGACGCCTAGGTGGCCCTTGGGCCGGCCATCCTTGTTACACGAGGGGCAACCATTATTATTATACTGGGTAACACCATTAACAGAAAATTTTTGAAATACTAAAAATGATACATTTGATACATGTTTTTACTCATAGTAAACTCTCTAATCTGGACTAATTGGCTGAAATTCATAGTTGGGCAGGGGTCCATATTGCAGTGTGGAAAATATAGAGGTAAGGGGATTCCCCAATTCAAGCTGCTTAATAACACCAAATCTACTGTAATTTTTAGCCAGATTTAACTCTGATGATTTTTATATACCTTTTGAGCATTTTAGTTATTTAGGGTTTTAACTTCTGTTAGGGAAAAAGTTCAATTTTATCAAGTCATATGCTCCTGACAGCATGGCGATGGCTCTTGGTAAACCTGTATTCGCCAAGTATCTGGTGTAGCCATGAGTAATCACACACCTGGCAGCAGTGTGTACTATCTCAGCTGTGACAAACAGTGACAGTCAAGCCTCATGTCCCCAAAATACCTCCATTTGATGGCCCTTATCACATATTTTTTTCTATATAGTACTGTATGCACTTATTTAAACAAATATTTAGGTAAACTATTCATGAGCATTTTGGTAAAAAATGGTGTTCCTAACTCAAATGAAACTGACTTTATAGACTAGTATAAATATTTCTTGTATTTAAAAAAAAAAAAAAATTTGATCCCAACATTGTATCATGTCCAAATAATTTTTTCAGGACATTTTATTGAAAAACTTTATAGGAGAATTTATTCCAACCTTTATTGGTACCAAATTCAGATTTCCAACATAATTAGAACGGATGCTTTGGATAATACTTTGTACACTTTCCATTAACTTTTTCTCGCAGCCAAGGCCCCAACAACTAAAATAAAGGGAGTGAATTATACAAAGTATAATGCACTAAAATAATACATCTGTTCATAGAAAATAGAAGCACACAGTGCATGTTAATAATAAAGTACTGTACTGTAGAGAACTTATAAATTACTTTACAGGAAAGCCTCGAATTATGATGCATATATAAAACCTTTCTTAATTTAGGACCAGATTCAATTTACATACATAGTTATTTTATTCATATTTATGGAAAAAAATATAAAAAATAAACAAATAAAATAAATTTTTTACATAAATAAGAACTCATATTTTGTACTGTACAATATTGTACAAATATTAAACCTGAAAAAAAAACTTGAAGCAGTCTTTTCTGGGTTGCTGGGCTGGTGAACTTGTTAACATATACAGTTGCTACTTGGCGGGCTTTTTGTTTCCACTTATTTGAACCAGATTAGGATAAAAACTTTCAGGTATTTTATGGAATTTTCGTGTCCTATTCAACACGAATAAGTGGTGGTATTGCTGGTTTGAAAGCTAAAAAAGAACCTGACGATTTAGGCACTTTGCCGTCATCTGAGTAAAAATTCAGACAACAATATTGTCCCTATGTTCTTGGCTTTACCACCGTTGGTGAGTAGAAATTTAATTTTACTTTCTTAAACATTAATGAAAATACAGGTATTAATGTACCGTATTAAGTGTTGTCATATTCATATGTAGAGAAATTACTATTTTCATGTGTGCATGCATACATACGTTGACCTTCCACCGTCCTTCTGACACTTTTTCATTTCACTTTTTTATATACAGTACATTAATTTTTCTACAGCTACAGCCAGGGTCTTGTCTTCAGTTTCAGATGGAGAACCATCATCACGTGTTCGTAGTGAATCGTATGGTTTATTTTGCATACATAAACATTAATTCAATCGTGCAGTACGTATAGACATTTTGTAATAAACAATAATTAATCATTAGTATTCTTAATAAGAGAAGTGACTGTGGGCCTCCACCCACAGTTGAGTTATTTCATCCTTAATATGCAAGTGAATTACAATATATTACAAATTGCAGTAATAAATATTAATTAAAGTATAGTTTATTGAACATTAATTTTAGTTGTGTTTTTCTGGGTTGGGGAAACGTGTGTCTGGTACTGGACCCCAATCTGGTTTGCAAAGGGATCTGGATTAAGCAAATCCAGGTTGGAGGGAGTTTACTGTATAAATTTGGTGATTGTGTCTAGAAGTTTGTATTCATTAGTTTTAATCTTGTCTAATTTACGTTCCTGGAAGTATTTTGCCTTGTGTAACTGAATATATAGTAAATATTCTGAAACAATTTTCCTATCAAACAGGTAAACCCCCCCGTTTGTGGAGAGGAGGAAGCTGATGATACTTGGTCCAGTTGCAACAGTGATCTTTCCAAATTTGATACTGCCAATACGTCCACTCCAACTGCTCGTAAACTTCGCACTAAGAGACGGATAGCTGCTCAATTTACTTCAAATTAAGCGGTCATCTGTAAGGACAAATCCCTAGACTAAGTATTAATGTATTTTGTGATAATTGTTAGGATGTTCTTATGGTGGGTAGTGATACAAAGTTGTTGATTCTTTAAGTTGAGTTAATCAGAGGTGTAGTATTGTTAATAGTTTGATAATTTAAGATATCCGTCCATCACTTATAGTGCAGTACAGTTTATTGTTTTATGAAAATAGAACGGTATTGGTTGAATTTGTGAACCTATATTTGATGCTTATTTAAAGACCGTTATATTGATTTTCAATATTTTCTTTTACATACCTTTAGATACAAAAATAATTAAATATTTGTATAAGAATAATCTTTGTTATTCCAAAACAGAATATTTTTGTTACTTTTAATTGTGTGAATTGGAATTTGCTGTTCTTTGAGAACTTTTGTCGAGGCTCATTTAGTCATTTCTAATTACAGTAGACTCAGTGTTTTGTACTTTTGAATACCACACTTGGGATATTTCACATTTGTGAGGGAACAGAAATTTATGTATTTTAATAATTTTTATAGTTTTATTAGAATGTTTTTCATCCTAGACCACATAGGTGAAGGAAACTAATGTAAGTGAAAAAGATCATACAGAAATCGGACCAAATTGTGAATCCCATATACAGTATGTTTAATTGTGAAGTCGATAATGAATTGTTACAAGAACTTAACATTACGATACACCTGGTGTGTACTGTGAAGTTACACTACTATTAATGTTATATATTTATCATACAGGTATGTGACTGTAGACTTTTCACAGTGGATTGGGTATTATTACTCCTACAGTATTTTGCAAAATTGACTTAAATTAGTGTACTGTTAGAGTTCTTGGTTGTGAGGACTTGGAAATACTGAGGCTACTGCAAATATTGATATGTTTGAATTTTACAATCTTTAGACTATTTTGTATGATTAAATTTTTTATTATAAATAAACAAATTAGGTTAATGAAAAGTTGTAAAGAATGTTTGGATACAGTTTACATTTAATGAGAAGCATTCCTTTACACAAGGGAATACCTGTACATCATTCCCAGTTTGTACTGTAAAGTACAAAGTTAGAGGAATTAACTGAAAATTAGAAGGCCTCAATTTAGAGCCAATGAGAAGGATTCAAAGAGTAACATGAAAAGTCCTTTTCTGATATAAAGGTACAGGGTCTCATTGTTAGCAATTGTGATTCCTTTAATTTTATTATAATAACTTTGTATGGATAGATGTATTACTTTTTCTTTGTATATTTTGGAGTTTGTCATGTTAAGAAAAATTTTGTAAAAAGCTTAAAACTCTTTTAATCCATGAAGATATTTTCTGAGCTTTAAGAAAATGCCAAGCGAGGCAGATTCCAAACAATGATTGTAAATTCACTTTTTCTAGGTTAGTTTTGATTTTTTCCCCAAAGTCAAATATCTCAGGATCTGCTTATAACTACCACCTGTGATATAAATTTATTTTAATTTTTAGGAACTTGAATATTAAATTAAAATACTGGACAGCCTCTTTTCATCCAAATATATTTTTGCTAAACACTTGGTTGATACCCTTGAATATTTGCTAGTTATTTTAAAGTTGAAATTGTTCCTGACTTTAGTCAGTAAGATGTGACTGGAATGGTTTTGGTGATAAATGTACCTCAACTGTATTTTTCTGCTGAAAGTTATTTTTTTATTTAGTCTTGATATAACCTGACTCCATACTACCTTCTCGAGGTGTCTCCAGAAGTTAGACAATATCCATTTATACTACAAATATGACATTTTACAAAAAAAAAAGGTAATGTTATTTCAAGTGACTTAAGAAAAGCATTCGTTATTTTGAATATTAATGAACTTGTGCTGCTATTTTGTCAACATTACTAACCAACTGGTTTGTCAGAGTTTTGTCAAGTGTTGGTTGTGGGTTTCTCAGTTGTTACACTGAAACATTCCTTGTTGTGGAAGTTGAAATAAAGATAAACATTAAGGAAAAATGTTTTAGTATACATCTACCCGGGAAGTTTTTACTAAATTTCTCATATTGTTGCTCATTTTGTGAGTGCCTAATAGTTAAAATACACAGTACCCCAAATAAAAATTGTTTATTTTAGTTACTAAACTTGAATTTGTTTAATATTGTTAATTGTGCATTGTTATTGAGAAGATAAACTAAAAGGTAAGCTAGTTTTGCACTGTTAAGAGAATTCAAAATTTATACTTTGCAATGGGATTAGTGGTTATATTGATGTTGGAAAACTTAGACATTTTTCAATGTTAATTCTCGCCAACAATGGGTTATCAAAGTGCAATTTTGGCGTTAATGTGTAAGTACCTAATTAGTTAACCACCTTAAATTCTAATAATGAGAGAAGTATAATTTGGTTGAAAAATGACTTAGGTGGTAAGGCTTACATTTTTGACAGTTTTGGCCCAAAATCAGATTTTTTTTTGAAAATCACATACTCCTGAGCTTGCGGATTTTGAATATATGGTCCATGATTTGATTGTGCTATAATTAGGAGCAGTGGCACTCCCAGGGGCCCTACCAGGGCATGTGATACTCCCAGGGGTCCTTCCAGTGACAGTGGCACCACCAGGGATTCACCTAGGGGCGGAAGTGCTCCCTGGGCCCCTCTCGGGGGCAGCAGTGCTGCTCCCCTGGTCCCTCTCGGGGGCAGCAGCTCCGCTCCCTGGGCCTCTCTTGGGCAGCAGCGGCCCTTTCCCTGGCCCCCTCGGGGGCATACCAACCCCCCCCCCCGGTTCTCGGGCATTGAGGACACCAGGGGCCCTGCCAGTGGGATCGGAGACCTCAGGGGCCCTCCTTGGGGCAGTGGGGACCCCAGGGGCTCTTCCAGGGCTTGCGGCGACCCCAGGAGCCCTCAAGATGCATAGGAGACACGAAGGGCCAACCCAAGTGCGTCGGTGACCTCGGGCCCTGCCAGGTGCGTCGGCAACCCTAGGGGACGCGGAAGCCCCAGAGACCGTCCCATGGGTAGTGACACCCCCAGGGGCTCTCCAAGGGGCGTCGGCGATCCCAGCAGCCTTCCCAGTGGCTGGCAGCATTCCCAGGGGCCTTCTCAGGGGCATTGGCGACCTAGGGCATCAGCGATTCTCCAGGGGCCCCCTCAGGAGCGTCGACTACTCCAGTGGCCCTCCCAGGGACGACGGTGCCCTCAGAAGTCATGCCATTGGTGGCGGCGCCCCTAGAGAATCTCCTTGGGGCGGCGGGGACTTGAGGGGCCCTTGCCTCTGGGAGGGCCCTCGAGAGTATGGCAGCCTCTGGTAGGGCCCCTGGATGCACTGCCGCCCCTGGGAGGACCCCTGAGGGTACTACCTTCTCTGGGAGGGCCCCTTGGGGCGCTGCCGTCCCTGCTCGGGCCCCTGGGGTCCCTGTTGCCCCGAGGGGGGCCCTCTGGGAGCGCCGTCGCCCATGCCAGGGCCCCCTGAGGGTGCTGCCGTCTCTAAGACCTGGGAACTACCGCTGGTGGTGGGACCCCTGGGAGGGTCCGTGTGGGCACCATAACCCCGCTGAGGACCTCTGGGGTACCGCAGCCCATAGTAGGGCCACTGGAGTGGCCACCACCTTTGGGACGGCCCCAACGGTCGCTGACACCCCTTGGAAGGCACTTAGGGTCACTGACGCTCCTGGGATGGCCCCAGGTGTCGCCTACGATCTTGGGAGGGCCCCTGAGGTCACTGCCAACCCTCATAAGAAAATAAGGGGTCTGCAATAAGCCAGTTGGCCTGTGCATGACAGCTCCTCGGAGGGCACCTGGGGTTCCCGCCTGCAATAAGAAGGCCCCTGGGCTCCTCTCTGCCACAGGGTGGGCCTCTGGGAGCGCTACTGCCCATGGCAGGGTCCCGGAAGGCACCACCATCCCTAAGAAACCCTGAGGGGGCCGCCACCCCTGAGAGGGTCTGTGGGACTGCTGCTACCCATGGGAGGGCCCCTGGAAGCACCATCTCCTTTGAGAGGTACCCTGCATGGGCTCCTGAGAGGGCCCCTGGGGTTGCCAACGCCTCTAGGAGGGCCCCAGGTCTCGCTGAAGCCCATGTCGGGTCCCTGGGGACTCCAACGCCTCTGGGAGAGCTCCTGGGGTCGCCAACGCCCCTGGGAGGGCCCTTGGTGTTGCCGATGCCCCTGAGAGGGCAACCTTGGGGCGCCAACAGCTACTGGGAAGGCTCCTGAGATCGTTGCTGCTCCTGGGGCGCTGCTGCTCCAGAGAGGGCCCCTGGGGCCACCGCCGACCCGGGTAGGGCCACTGGGAAAGCCCCAGGGGGCTCAACTACCCTTCAGCTTGCCGTTGGGGGCGCCGTCGCACATGGGAGGTCCCACTGTGGGCGCCGCCGCCCCTGGGCTGCCCCGTCTCTCAGAAGGCCTCTGGGATCACCGTTGCTTCTGGTGTGGCCCCTGGGGCCGCCCCCCCAACCAGGAGGGCCCTTGGAGGCGACACCGCTCTGTTAGGGCCCTTGGGGTCGCCGTGGACCCTTGGAGGGACTCTAAGGTCCTGCTGGCTTCTAAAAGGGCCCCTAGGGACGCCGCTCTCCCTGCTGCCACCCCTGAGAGTCCCTCTGGGGTCGCCATCGAACCAGGGAGTGTCCCTGGGAGAGTCCCTGGAGGCGCAAATACCAATGAGAGGGCCCCTGGGATCGCTGCTGCCCCTGGGAGGATCACTGGGGGCGTCTCCGCCATAGGGAGGGCCCCTGGGGGTGTCTCCACCATAGAGAGGGCTTCTGGGGTCGCTACTGCATTTGGTAGGGCCCCTGTGTTCGCCGTCGCCTCTGAGATGGCCATTGGGTAGCCGTCGAAAAGGGGAGAGTCCCTGTGGGCACCGTCAGATCCTTCTAGGGCCAGTGGGATCCCTGCTTTCCCTGGGGACACTGCCCCCCCTGCACATGGGGGCACTACTGCCCCTGGGGTAGCCGACGCTCCTGGCAGAGCCCCTGGTGACGCTGATGCCCTTGGGGGCACTGCTAGCTACTAGGACCTCCTGAGATCGTCACTCCTCCTGGGAGGCCCCTGTGGTGCTGCTGCCCCTGACACCGCCGGCAACCCTGGGAGGGCCCCTGGGAGAACCCGTGAGATCACAACCACACGAGAGGGTCCTTTGGGGCACCAGCGCCCCTGGGGGTACCCCTGGGGTCGCCGACACCTTGGTAGGACCCCT